AGATCGTACTCGAAGTCGAAGGGAGCCATGCGTAAGTACGACACCTATGGATTGTCCCTGGCGGTGCAGGTAAATGGTTAACGTAATGAATGTTAAAAAAAATTTCCTATTGAATTTGTATCTAATAATTATATGTGCTGCAGATCTGGGTGTATGAGGCCGTCCCCTATAGGGTGCCCGCTTGGCGAGGTGAGGGGAGACACGCTGCCCTCCGATGCACCATTGGATAGCATCTCGATCGAAGGGATGTCCCACTGGGAAACAGTTATGGGCTATCATCGACGACCCTCAGGTGAGTATTATACATTTGTAATTTATATTATGCATGATTTAACATATGATTACATGATCGTTAACTAGTTCAAATGTCAATATGTCAGATCGAAGTCATAACTGAGTTGATACCGTCGATGGAGGAGGAGGCTCGGGGTCTTGTGCGTGAATTAGGAGTTTTGCACACCCAAGACGACTAGATGTCGATTCGATCCAGGATCGAGATTTGGTGAGTGAATTGATTAAAATTCATTGATTACCGTTTTGTATGAGTTAGCAATTACGGATTAAGTTAATAATTTGTAATGTTATTGCTTGTGTAGGAGCGTGATCCAGTTGATCGACGATCATCTCCACCGCCGAGGGCATCTCCTCCGTGTCCCCCGTCCAGAGACATTTCCTGTGGATCTCCCGCACATAGTCAGGGGTATTATTTTGATGATCTGTATGCCCGTTTGAGCGGATTTATAGCGGAGTAGGTTGACGGGCTACATCGAGAGATGATAGAGAAGGTTGACGATCTAGGACGACAGTTGGTACGACGGGTCGAAGATTTTCTCGAATGATGTTAGAATGCTGCGTGGCCATTGTGTGGACCTTGAGGATGAGATTGCAACATTTCAAGGTGATATAGCCGGTAGGCGATGGGTTGAAGGAGACGGTGATCTGGGGTGGTGATAGAGATGGGGGTCACTGGCAGTTGTTTATGCATGATGATGATGCATGAGAAACATTTATTTTATCCGTGGAGCGCAATGGGATTGGAGTGGCGACAGAGGATGGGGGCCCGTAGGAGAGAGAGACGGTGGCCCCGTTGGGGACGAAGACTGTGGCAGTGGAGGAGGTGGCCCTGTCGAGGATAGAGAC